GACACCACATTGTCATAAACACAGCAGGGGTTTTTGAGTCAAAGGTCTTGGTCCAAAACTCTGCTCTGTTCTTTGTTAGCTGTTGAACTCAGGCATATAATTTCACCTCTTTGAGCCTGTTCCCTCTTCAAAATAGGGCCAAGACCACCATCTCACAGAGTTATAGTGAGGTTACATAAGGAAAGACGTCTGTAATGCTCCGGTCACAGTACTGGGCACATCCTAAGTGCTCAGCAAGTTAGTCCCTCCTGTCTTTGTCACCTCACATTCTAGGTTTACCCTTAGATACCTGTAACACAGTGACATTGTGAAGGGCTCTGTGACCCTTCTCTGATGGGTCCCAGAGCGGTGTGCCTGGACATCCTATGTCTACTTTTCACATTTTCTGTGTCCTCTCCCATAAACTGACACTTCTTACTGCTGCCATCACCCACTCTCCTTTCCTGTGATAATCTCATATGAGTTTACAGAACAGATAATAGCTTCCTAACTGCTCTACATTAATTCACTTAATCTTCATAAAACCTTATCAATCAGGTACTGTTATTTTCATTTTTATAGTTAAAAAGCTGAGGCACAGGAATGTGAATGTGATGTGACTTCTTAAGGACATGTAGCTAGTAAGTGGAGGATTGGCTCAGACTCAGGCAATATGGTTCCAGAGGCTGTTCTCAACCACACAACACACCCCCTCCAAAAACTGAGAACCACAACTAATAGACAGTGTACAAAGCAAGAGTTTATAGACTGAAGACTGGACATCGTGTCTCTTTCAGATTGGACTTTCAAATGCAGCAGTGAGCTGTATGGCCAGTTGGGGTTAAGTATCACCTTCCAAAACAGATTATTTGAAACAAGAAAAAACTACTAAATGCAGAGAGAGATTCAAGGCAAGAAAGTCTAGTGATTGTATTTCATCCTCTGGAGGTTTCTTTTAGATAAAAATATGGCTTGATAAAAAGAAGAATGGACAGATTTATCTTCTCAGATAGAATGATGTAAACAGCATGATGTAAATGGTGATTCTCAAAATTTTTTGGTCAATAGGTCTCACTGAGAATCTGATGAATACAGATTCCCTTTCTAGGAAAATATACGTTTAACTTTTTCTGTATTTTTTAGAGATGGGGTCTTGCTGTGATGCCTAGGCCAGAGTAGCAGTCACACTATCATGGCTCACTGAAGCCTGGAATCCTGGGCTCAAGTGATCCCTCTGCCTCAGCCTCCAGAGTAGCTGGGACTACAGGCAAGTACCAGGATGCCTGGCTAATTAAAAAGAGTTTTTTTTTTTTTTTTTTTTTTTTTTAAGAGACGGGCTATTGGTATGTTGTTGGGGCTGATCTTGAACTCCTGGCCTCAAGCAATCTTCCTGTCCTGGCCACCCAAAGTGACGTTTAACTTTTTATGTACAACTGTAGAGGATTTCAGGATCTGTTCTTGAATATAAAATTTAGAGAATCTTGGCAGGGCCCAGTGGCTCATATCTGTAATCCTAGCACTTTGGGAGGCTGAGGCAGGTGGATTACCTGAGATCAGGAGTTCGAGAACGGCCTGGCAAACATGGCGAAACCCTGTCTCTACTAAAAATACAAAAATCAGCCAGGCATGGTGGCACATGCCTGTAATCCCAGCCACTTGGGAGGCTGAGGCAGGAGAATTGCATGAGCCTAGGAGATGGAGGTTGCAGTGAGCTGAGATTGTGCCATTGCACTCCAGCCTGGCTAATAGAGCAAAACTCTGTCTCAAAAAAAAAAAAATTTTTTTTAGAGATTCTTTATAGACAAGCAGTGGCAGTGGAAAATTAAAGCTAGCACTTTAAGTCCTGCCTCTTCTACTTACAAGCTGTGTGATTTTAGGCAAGCCACTATCCTTTAAGCCCCTTGTGCAAAAATGGAATAATCATCTCTGCCCTGCTCCCCTCACAGCAATAAACTATTACGATTAGTGTGAAAGGTGTGGTCAATTACAAAGTGCTATCAGAATGTTGTCAGGACACTCAGGTTTAGAGAGGTTACTTACCGTAAGGTCACACAGCTACCAAGTAGCAGAAGAGAGGTTCAACTTGGAAGACACTGAAGTCTCTGGAATGTGTGTGTATGTGGCTGTGGTTATATGTATGTGAAGATCTCTCTTCCTCTAAGGATTTTAAAAAGGATCAAAAGAGAAAATGCATGTGAAAGAGTTACACAGGCTATCATGTGCAATGCCTATATGAGTTACTCCTGGACTGAACTAAAGACTCCATGTCCCATCCACTTGTGGTGACCCAGGACTGGATGGTTGAGGGACTGAGAAGGATGAGTGGAAATGTGTCAATCTATGATGCCGCTGTGGAGAGAATTAAGACCCTCTCCCACATCCAAATGAAAATTCCATACTTTGGGGGAAATTTGCCAGAGCTCTCCAACCTCTTAAAAACCCATTCCACTAACCAGCACACTTAGATGTTAGTGTGTGACTAATATGTTTCTAATGTCAGCCACCAGTAAAATCTATAAAAACCTAAATCTTACTCTATGTTAAAAAAGATAGATTCCATAAAAGATGCTCTCATTCAACTTTGATTCTGGATGCTTACAATCCAGAGATGAACACCTGTGTGTGTTATAAAACTAGCAGTGCCAGAGAATGGCAACACCCCAAACCAGAAGCCTAGAAAAACCCCCCTGCACCTTCTTAAAGGCAATGGGAAACTGGCAACACTTGCTTAAACTTTCAAACTAATGCTCCAAATGCACATCCAGCAGTCCAAGAACACAAGGGAGTAAACTGGAATGCGGGATGACAAAGAGTCCTGGAGCTTCTCTGTAAACAGCAGGGCGTAAGAATGCCGAGCAAATATTCAGATTGACTCACTTACTGAGTCTGGAGGCTGGGATGTAAAGCCCAAGGAACCCTAATGGTAGGAGGAAGAACTGCAGAGGACACTGCTATTTCTGTGGTGACAGCAAGTCATTTTAATGTTGTGCTTGTATTAAAAGGTATAAAATTGCTTTGGTCTCTGTCTGAAGCTTAGTAGACCATCATGTCTTGAGTGAACACTGACAATTAGCTGAGGCCTTTCCCAGTTATGAGGCCTAGAGCATAGAAAATCATGGGGCTGAGCAGGCCAGACTGAGAAGAACTTTCCAAGGCAGGCTGAACAAGGCTGTGTCAACTTCACACACATTCAAGTAGCATTTAATAACTTTTATCAAACTGGCTTTAGAGTAAAGTCTATATTGTTGTAATACAGAAGTGAGGGTGAGTGGGAGAGAACAATATAATGAAGTCAAACCCAAGTCAGACAGAACAGGTTAAACATGAAGGTCAATTCAGAGTACTTTCCCTCAAACCCCACCCACACCCCTGCTGCTTTTCCTGAGTATGACCTGAGTTCAGGGCTGCAGCTTCTTCACAGCAGCTACAGAACAAGGTCTACCTAGAAAAAAAAAAAAAGAGGTCGTGCCCTAGTGCATCTGTAGCACTGGAAATGACTATCTTGTGGAACCATTAGATTAGGAAGATAGGCGTAGAGCTGGAGAGAAGTGTTCAGTTTGAACTTCCCTGAACACTCCCCCTGAAGGAAGACCCACAGTGGGTCTCCTTTCCTTTCAGCCTTCCTATAAAGACCCCTGGGGCCACAGAAGGCCCACATCTAGGCAGATGTAGCAGTACTCTGTGCTAGACAGTAATCTGGAGAGGTCCCTGGTTGGAGCGTCAGAGAAGACACAAGGTATAATTTTCCTGGCCAACATCTGCTTCTGGGCAGAAAGGAAATGGGCTGGCAAATCTCCAGTTCTGATTAGAATCTTCTGAGAATCCCTTGGCTGGGGCTAGGGGAACAAACCTGGCCCTTGAACTCTTTTTCAGACAAGTACAAAATGTCAGAATCAGGATCCCAACCCCTAGGATAAAAACCACAGGTGACACAAAAGCAGAAATGGAGAAAGATTTCAAGATTAAAAATAAATCACTGGCTGTGAAGGTATAAACAGTGTTCCCATGAACTAAACCCCAAACCCCAAATCTGTAGATTAAGAAAAACCCACACTTACTAAATCAAATCAAAAATTATATGCAGGTTTCAGGCAACACATGTCTTCTGAGTTGAGACCCCAAGTTTGCTCTCTTCAACATATGAAGTCTGATTTTTCAGCCATAGAATGAGATCCCTTTCACTTGAGCCCAATATCAAATACTAAAACATTAAAAGAATAAAATAGTAGAGCAAGTTCCTTATTACAGGAGAGTCCATGGGGCTGCTGATCAGATTTTGTTGATAGACAAGGTGCTTCAACACCAAGTGACAAGGTCCAAATGTGTGAGGGAGTAGAGGGAGAGAAAGCAAGAGAGAATTGTGTTCAGTTTATGCTGATGGACTAGCAACTTGGGAGCTGTTATCTGTGAGGTTCTAACTGCCCAAATGCAAACCTAACAGTAGCCTCCTGCCACTGGGCCAGATACTGAAGTTTTGGTACTAGTCCTCTCTGCACATAATCTCAACATTCACATTGCGAACAGTTGCCCTATGCTGCAGTGGAACAGCAAATATCTCCCAGGTGGAACCTGGACACCCAAGGCAGCAGCAGTAATAAATATCTTGCATATATGTCAAATTCAGTCCTCAAACAAAACCTTATATCTTAGTAAAGCCATCAGAAAGTACTAACAAAAATGGTACACTTTTTTCCTACAACAATGTTTACTCCCCATGCCGAGAATGTCCCATTTGACTTTTTTCCCTCTGCCCCTTAAAATTAGGTGACAAGGTAGAAATTCAGTCATGAAAATAAAAAGACATATATCAAATATACAGCATTCTGGTGTCACAGAACAGACAGAACTGTTCTAGACACTGTGGGGAGAAGATGGGCACTGAAGAAGTAAAAATTCTATTTAGTGATCACTCACACTTGAACAATGCATTCATCATTGAGGGAGGGTGAAGTGCAGGGGGTAGGGGAGAGTGGCAGAGTTGTAATTCTCTGTAATGAGGGTTGGGAATATATACTCATGGATGGGAAATCTTAAGTAGCTATGTTTATTATTACTTTTTCCAGCAATTTTGCAAGAGGCAGAAGTGTGACACTGAACTGAGTGAGACGAGCGTGTGGGTGGGTTGGCGAGGAGCCCTTCTCCTGACGCAGGCTGCCGGCTTGTCAAGGAACGGCTGGTTCCACCGCTGGGCCGTGTTTACTCTTTTGCTTCAAGGAAAAGTGTTTCTTGAGGGAACAGCTTTACCTCCAATAATGACTTATTTGGGTCCAGTTGAGTTACCTAAAATGAAGAACACATATTCAAAAGACTGAAACAAGCACTATATTCTCTACATGGCATTCATTTTATCTATGCACAGTGATTCTGAAACTATGCACTGGCATGAAGAGTCTGGCAGAATCTTATTTGATCTTCAAAATAACCTGCAAGGCAGGTGTTGTTATTCTCATTTAATCAGTGAGGAAACCAGAGCTCAGGAAGATCAAATCTTGTAGTTTAGTTTGGTGAAGCTACCTTGCCTCCTGCACAGCTCAGCCTGGCCAGCAGAACAGGGGACCTTAGGAAAGGTGCTGGTTAATGACTGACTGGCATTCCTAGAGACCTCTGCTTGGTTAACCCCTAATAGAGGGAAGGAACTTTTCTGCTTGGTGCAACTACAGCTAGCCTTTGGGGCTGACCTTCCTGTTAAAACTACATTATAAACTGTAGAATGGCTATTCCACCATGCCCAACGATGAATATCTCCCCTGGTTAGGGGAGGCAAATCATATCCTTGTTAATGGTATATTTAGTTTGAAAAAAAAAAAAAAGAGTCAATATCATAATACTTTATATTTTAAGAATTTAAAAAATCACAATTTTGTAATATGAACTATTGAAAGTCAAGCTAGACAAAATCTTGGCTCAATGGGATACATTAATCATATAGGGATCCTAAAATTAGGTTTATGCCCTTTTAGACAAGGGGCAGAGATGGGACATGCAGATTTTCTGAATCTGTGAGTGAGAGAAGAAACAAAACTTTCCTGTTTATCAAAAGAGGTCAGGAATGTTTAAAAGTTGAACAATACTGGTTTAGTGGAAAGGACATAGGCTTTGGAACTAGAAAGACTCTAGTTTAAATTACAGCTGCATTGGCTATCAGCTTTGTGGCTTTGGAGTTAGTATCAATCTTACAGGACCGATGTGAGAATTAAATGAGAAAAAATATATACTTAACAAAGTGTCTTGCCCAGAACAGGTGTTCCATAATGGCTGCTGTGTGTGAGAGCAACTGTAAAGATGGTGGACACACGGATAAATGAGTAGCTCCAAGTGTGTGTGATGGGAGGGCAAGCAATCTCTAGTCAGGCCTGAAGCTGCTGCTCTGCTGCTCTGGGCCTGATTGCAGCACCGGAGGCAGGCAATCTTATCTTCTACTTAACTCAAGATGCTTCTAATAAGATGGTTCTGGTGTCTTCTTCCAGGGAGAGGTGGGGGATACCGGGAAGGGGAGGCCCTGGGGGCCAAGGCCAAGTATCAAAGGCATGCTGGCAAGGGGAAGGGGGTGAAAACTATCTTCAGCTGTATCTAGATGAAAACCTGAGCATATCACTCAGGAGGGTCATTAAAAAGACACATCTACCCCTGGAATCCTTTCTGCTTATAAGGAACTCAGAGCAAAGCATGCTATATTTGTATCTCTTGGGTTGTGGGCAGATGGACAGGCAAGGAGTGGGAAGGGCCTAGCCTGCTGTCTATCTTCAAATGCACTGAGGGGCAAGCTGCTGGCAAATGTTTACCCACTTCCCCAATTAGCGTACAATACTGCACTGGCTTCTGTCAACAAACAGTTACACTGCCTCTGCTTCCCACTCGTTGGCATTTTCTGCCCAGCTGCTTCTGATAATGTTCTTAATTAACATGCCAGAGCTCTTCCAGCATCTTCTACTTTGTTATTTGTGGCTTGTAAATATAGTGTTTGCTGGGAGAAAGGATCATTGTAATAGTGTGCTAGGAAGCAAAAGAGCCCGGAAGGCTGAAGTATCAGGACTGAGTTGCACCATGCTGGGGCTGTCATATGCAAGGTTAGAGATTCATAAACCACATCTAGTTTTCATATGAGAAAGTTGTGTCCAAGAAAAGTTAAGTGACTTTCCTCAGTTACTTTGAGTGGGAGAGCTGGAATTTGAGAAGGAAGAAAAAATTTCTTGAATGCCTACCATATCACACAACATATCCACACAACAACCGTGCAAGACAGCAGAGATGATTACACTGAAGCTTAAAGTGGTTGCCACTTGTTTATAGCCACATCTGTGTATACAGCACAATGGTTAAAAAGAGTGAAGTAAACCCAGAGTCAAATCCTAGCTTTGTCACTACCTACCAATGTGACCTTGAAGAAATTAAATAACCTGAGAGCCAGTTTCCTCACCTGTAAAATGGGAATCATAGTTTCTCCTTTATAAGATGTTGTAACAGTTAGATGGAATAATGTTGGTGCAGCCTCTGGTACAGCGTCTGAGCCAGTATGCTCAGTAGGTGTAGCCATAACTGACTGGGTAGGGGCCCTGATCTTTCTAACTTCAAGGCTGCAGCTCTTGCACCAAAACCTCCTGGAACCCTGATCTATACCAGGATACCAGGCTATCTTTCTTGTTTCTTCCCCAGTGCCTAGCAAGAGTGCCCCCCTTTTTCTGATCAGGTAATGCCTCCATCTCTGGAGAACCCCGTCTACAGCTTCAGTGCGGCTGTGTCACCACTGGACTGCTTCGAAGCAAACATGGCTGTGCTGACTGCTCCCTCTGGTGCCCTAAAAATATAATCAAGCATTTTTTTTTCTTTGAAGGTCATTTTAAGTAAGAATTTCAAAGTGAGCAAGGACAATCTCTATTTCCATTCTTATTTGCCTGGCTTGGGCAAACCGATTAAAGGAAACCATGGGGAATATAGGACATCATGTTTCTCCTCAGCAAGATGGTGGCCACACTGTGAAACCATCCTGCAGTGCTCTGTGCCCTGTTCAAGAAGGACATGGAGCATGCCAGGAGGGACCTCCTGCTTAGGGATGAGCCTAAAAACTATGTTTTCCGAGATACAGCTGAAGAATGGGAGATATCTCCCTGGAGAGAGGGCATTGAGAAGAGGCGGTGGTGGTGCTGCTATATGGGTAGAGAGGGGGCTGTGCTAGCCCTCTTTGAATATCCAAAGGGCTGATAAGCAGAAGATAGTGCAGATGTGTTCTGTGCAGATCTGATGAGTAGACCTAGGGGTGGTGAAATAAAATCACAGGGAAGCAGAACCCAGCTAGTCAGAAACAACTTTTTACAGACAGACAGCAGCTGCTGATGTGGCTACTACTGCTTCTCTTCTTTTATCTTTCTACCTCCTCTCTCTGTTCTGTATTTTCTTGTTCTTCAGTTATCATCATAGCAGCAACTATCATTTATTGAGTGCCTACTATGTAGCTGGGAACCATGCTAAGTACTTTATATACTTTTAATGTAGTACCTTAACCAGTCCTCACAACAGGTCAGTGAAATAGGTATAATTATTTCTATTTTACACATGAAGATACCGTAGGTTATCTTGCCCAAGGCTGCAGACAGAATAAGGTTTCATACTCAGGTCTGAATCTAAAGCCGATGACATGAATGGTTCTGACTAACATGTCAACAGGCTGTCTTGCAGAAATGGAGGGGTAGGGAAAGTAGGGTGAGTGAACTCTCCGCTGTTCCCAGAAGCACTCAAATAGGGGCTTACTTGCAGATGAAGATTATAATAGCTAATGTTTACTAAGCATTTACTTTGTGCCAGGTATATGCCAAGCACTTTACTTTTATAAAATATAAAAGGTAGGTTATCTGAGGTAGGGAAAATTATTTTTATCTTACTTTATTTCAGTGGTTTTGGGAGCAGGTGGTTTTTGGTTACATGGGTAAGTTCTTTAGTGATAATTTCTAAGACTTTGGTGTACCTGTCTCCCAGGGACTGTACATTGTACCCAATGTATAGCGTTTTATTCCTTACCACCACCCACAACCTTCCCCCTGAGTCCCCAAAATCCGTTATATCATTTTTATGCCTTTGTTTTGAGGTAGGGGCAATTATTTTCCCCATTAAGCCAAAAGGCCAGTGGATAAATTGAGCCCTGGAGGAGATTAAGTAACTTGCCCAAGGTCTCAGAGCTATTAAGGGCAGAGCCAGACTGTGAATCAAGGCAGTCCAGATTTGGAACCCACTACATTATATTGTCGGAGGTATTGCTGAGAGTAGGATCCACACAGAGAAAGAAGTTGGATGAGATGATCCTGAAGTTGTTTCTAACCAAGCTTCTGGGGTATAAAATCTTCACTTTAAGAATGGCAATAAGTCAAGAGTCAGGAAGGAAGTCCTGAAATGTTTATAAAATACGAATACAAAAACCCAATCTGAGCTTGTGTTGTGCCATTTACTTGGGACTTTACTGAATTATTGACTCTCTAAATCAACAAAGAAGCTCACCCTTTGGGACTCCTTGGGGGAGGAGGGTCATTCTCAGATAAGAGGTATTGCCTGACTTTGTCTATAGTTAGAAAAGGAAAGTCAACCATCTTGACATTTTCTTCACTGTACTTAGAAAACCTAAATGGATATATTTTCTCATTAGCTTAATAATTTAGCAAACTGGCTTTGTGAAACATGTTTATATAACAAAAAATGGGACAGGTGTTCTTTGCTAAACAGAGCTATTCCTTTGTAGATCGATTTTCTTAGCAGATTGAAATTTCATATACTGTTTCCATTACTTCCTGGGCTTCGGTTCCTTTTCTAAAAAGCCTAACATTGCTGTTGAGAAAAATGTGAATCCATGTGACAGATTCTCATCCTAGGCCACACTGTGAATCCTGGAATGTTAGGGAGGGAAAGCTCCTTAGATACCAAATTGCCCAACCCCTTCATTTCATAGAAGGGCAATCTGAGGCTTAGAGAGGTCAAGTGACTTAGCCGAGGTCACAGGGTTGAATAGGAGCAGATACAGCACTCTGCCCCTAGAGTTTCTGACTTCTGTTTTGGGGATTTTACTAGTCACATCACTCTGCCTCTCACTTTTTAGTACCTGAGCATAAATATAATACTACAGGATGAGTACCAATAATATAAAAATCCAAAATGTTTCAAAATCCAAAACTTTTTGAGTGCTGACATCGTGCTCAAAACAAATGCTCTTTGGAACATTTCAGATTTTGGATGTTCTGATTTGGGATGCTCAACCAGTAAGTGAATATTGCAAACTCTGAAAAAATCCAAAATCCAAA